CTGCGCCAACGTCTTGGCGGACTGGCGCACCCGATCGGCCGAGGGCCTGGGCAGTGCCTCTGACTCGGTGGGCGGTCGCCGCGGGCGGAAGCGATCGCTATCCTGCCGAACCCGCCAGACCTCGGAGGCCCACTGCTGCGCCGCGACCTACACTCGGTCGGGGCCGTGCGCTGGAGCGCCGCGCACCTCGCCGTCGGGTGCCCAGCCGCGCGGTCCTCGCCGATAGGCGTGGAGGCTCCTGCGCCTGCTGCCATGGAGTTGCGCATCCACTCCTTGAACCCCTGGCCGCGGATGGCGGCAAAGGCGGCGCCCTCCGCCTCGGCCGCAGCCCTGGCCTCGGCAGCCCATTCGGCCAGGGGCAGCAGGCCGCGGCAATCGGCCGCCAGGGCTACGCGCGCGGCCCACTGCGCTCCCAGCGGTGGACCCTCCATGGTCGGGGGCCTCGGGGCTGCCGCACCTGCGCGCGCCTCTCGGCCGCCTGCGCCGCCGCCGCCGCGGCTGCCGCCGTCGCTGTCATCGCTGGAATCCGACGGAAGGTCACCGTGGTAGCGCATGAAATGATTGACGGACTGGATGCAGCTGTAGCGCTCGTCGTCCGCGACTGCCGACGCGCCAGGGGAGCTGGACTCTAGTGCAGCCATGCTGCGGTGGTACTCGCCCCTCACAGGCTGCGCGCCTGACCAGCTCTCCTCGCGCAGCTCCACGGCCCTGCCCCAGCGCGCGGCTGCGCGCACCGTGAACGGCTGCGCCGTGCAGGCGCCGCCCACGCCCTCGCTGCCAGCGCTGCCGCTGCCTGTTGGTGCAGCCTTCGAAGCCGATGCTGCATGCCTTGTGCTGCGGGCTGCTGGGCAACCTCCACCTGCTGCCGCCAGTGCTGCGGAGGGGCCTGGAAGGAGCTTGCTTGGGATCGCGCCGACCCCCTTTCCGTAGATGCTGCCCCCAGTGCAGCCCCTGAGTCAGCGCCGCTGGGGCCCCCCACGGCGCTCGCGTCGGCGGCTCCATCGCCCCCGCACCGGCTGGGGCGTGCGAACGCATTGTGCGTGCATCCACTCGACCTTGTCGAGCTCTGGGTCAGGAGCGTGCAAGTGCGGGGGCCAGCCTCGAGCGAGGCGCTGGAGGGCCCCCCGAACCCCCTGCGCGCCCACCTCGATGGCGCCCCAGCCGCCGACGGCCGCCACTCGCACAAGAGCGGCGCAAAGGATTGGGGGCCGCGGCGTCGCCCGCAGGTCGCCACTCAGATGGGGCCGCGGCGTCGCCCGCAGGTCGCCCCGCGGATTGTCGCCACCCCAGCGCGGCCCCCAATCCGCAGGAGGCCTGGTCGACATCGAAGGCGATGGGGGCGCCAGGGAGGGGCCTGCTGTGATCGCCGCGCCCCTCCAAGCACCGCTTCGATTCCAAGTAGTGGTCGACCGTTCGGTGGAACTCCCCCCCCCCGCCCTCGGGGCGCAGGCGTCCGAGCTGTCGAAGGAGACGAACCAGCTCTCGCCTGCCAGGGCCCCCGCGCCGCCACGCAGAAGAGCAAGCCCCCTCGCGGCGCGCATGCGGCGCCCGAAATCCAGCGCCAGGCCCGTGGCGACGTGCGTCGGCAAGCCCAGCATGCGGAATATGTAAGGCACGCACTTATCCATCCACCCGGCCTCGTTCTCGCAGTAGTTGGGGCAGCTAGGGTTGGAGACCCAGCTGCGCGCTCGACGCCCCAACGCGCGCTTGTAGCGCTTGATTGGCCCTGGCCTGCACGCGCTCGACCTCGCGGCGCTCGGGGCCCAGCTTGGGGCGCACCTCAGCCGCGGGCCCCCCGCCCTCGGCCTCAGCGCCGCCTGTGAGAATCCCTGCCTGGGCGCAGTAGTCGCTCAGGCGCATGAGCCCCCCCCCCCCCCCCCCCTTGCAGCTGGCCTTTGGGCCCCTGATAGGGCGCGCCTTCGCCCGGGAGCCGAAACCGAACTTCGGCGGCCCCCCGCCCCCGATAGAAGTCGGCGTCGTCGGGGTCGATCTGGTAAGCCCAGACGAGCTCCTCCTCCACGCTCTCGCAGAGCCCCTGGCATGCCTCCTCCACGCGCTGCGAAGCGCCGCCCATGTCGATCTGGGCCCGAACAGAGTTGCGGTCTCACTGCTTCTCCAGCACGGGCTCGCAAGGGCGTGCCCTGGGGAAAGCCATCGGCCCCTTGGCCCTGAACGACTGGCCCATGTCGCCGTAGCAGGTGAGGCTGAGCTGCACTGCCATACGAGGGCGGCAAGTGCCGGCACACCCCTGGGCGGTCATGCCCAGGCGCTTGCAGGCGAGGACTCGGGCGAACATCTCAGAGCTGACAATGAACCAGTCAAGCTCCGAGGGCCCCTCGGTCGGGGAGCGCTGGCAAGCGCCCGCGCCCGCGCCCCGCACGTTGGAAGAAACGCTCGGGCTCCACGTTCCAGTCGCCCGAGATGACCCACGGCTCCCCTGTTCGCTCGAGGGGGGCCGACCTCCTGCAGCACAGACTGTCTGGTCTCGCCGACGTCGTCGTTGTCAAGGTATACGGAGCCCAGCAGAAACCCGCCAGGCACTGCTCCATTGACATGGACTACCGTGGCCCTGCCGTCAGAAACGTGGCAGCTGGACTTGCAGCCCTGAGCGCCTGGGCCGCACATGCCGCGGCCAGAGCGAACTGCGACTCCAGGGTCACCGCTCACCGCGCGCTGCTGCGATGCCCCCGCGGAACACACGCCTGGGGTCAGCACCGCGCTCCAGCCGACCTGCCGGCACCACTGCTCCTGCTCGGCGACTCGGTAGCCGTCGAGGTGGTGCTCCTGGAAACAGATCGCGTCGCCCATGTGCGCGTCGGCGGCCACCTGCTGCCGCGGGCCCTGCTGCTCGCCGAGGATGGTCGCGAAGGGGCCCCAACCGCTTGCGTCGAGGCTGACCACCGTGAACGTGGGCTTGCCACCCGCGACCCCCTCCTTTGCTCGAGCCCCGCAGAGCGGAGGCTCTGGAGGAACTTCTGCGCGCGAAGCCAGCGCCTCTGAGCGGCCTGGGCTGCGGCGTCACCGCGTCGAGCCCCTTCGTCGCGGCTGCCAGCACCTGCCGCCGCGCTGCCCTCCTCCGCGGGGACGTCGACCTCCTCCACCCATGCTGCCCAAGATGTTGCTGAGGTCGGCCTCCTCGGGCTCTTCGTCGCCGCTGTCGCGCTCTGCTGCTGCGCCAGCTGCTGCGACGCTGTGCGCCAGCCGACGAAGCTGGGAGACCTGCTGTGCCCATTGCTGAGCGTAACCTGCATTGAGCACGCCAGAGGCCTGGTCCAAAGCTTCCAAGAAAGCTGCGGCGCGCTCGCCCTCGCTGGGCAAGGCTGCTGGGGACCGAGGCGCTGCTGCTGTGGCGCCCACCCCCGCCGCTCCTTCTCCGAGTGCACCCTCACGCTCGCGTTCGTGCCTGGCCAAGAGGTTGTCGATGAGCGCCTGGAGCTCCTTCTCCGCTGCATTGCTGTGCTCGCGATTGCCCTCCAGCTCGAGCTTCTGCGCCTCGAGGCCCGTGATCTCCTGCGCGGTGCCCGCTATCTTCCTGGCAAGCGCCTCCGAGGTGCTCTGCTGGCTCCGCTGCTTGCGCTCGAGCTCGCTGAACTGGACGGGCGTGGGCTTCTCCTCGGAGAGCTCGCGTTCCAGTTGCTGTGCCTCCTGCCGCTTGCCCGCAAGTATATCGGCTGCGCCTTCCACTCCTTCGAGTTTTTTGACGTCGCCCCGAAGCTTCCCGAGTCGCAGTACTCTGTCGTCCTTCGGGGAGGAGGCTGCTGCTGCTGCGCCTGCATCGCCCCCTGAAGCTGCGCGAGAATTTCATTCGAGTTGTTTGAACTTGCGCCGCAACTGGTTGAGCTCGTGGCGCTCCTTAGCGTATAAATGAGACATGCCACTCCACCACGAGTTTGCCCCAGATCCTTGCTCCCACCAATCATATCCGCAGTTGCGACACACGTGCCTGGAGCCCCAGTTCTTGTTGACTCCGCACTCGGGGCACTTCCAGGCTTTGGGCCGGCTGCCTCCGCCTGCTGCCCCAATTCCGCCTGGCTAACCTCCCCCGCGCCCGCCTCTGTCGCCTTTGCCGCCGCCGCCACACGCGGCACCCCGAGCACCACCGCCACGTCCTGCCATTGGTCGAGTCCGCCGAGGCTGGGCTCCCAATCGGGCGACCGGGGCCGGGTGTCGGAAAGGTTATGGATATTAACGAACTGTGGCCGCGAAGGCCTCGCTGAAAGCTTGGTCGATTTGGAATCTGACCCAAGAAGTGACGCGACGGCTAGAGCCAGCCACATGGGACCAGACATCTGCCCTGATCGCATCATCTTGAGCCAAAATGGCTACGGATGCTGATGATGATGATGATGATGATGATGATGATGGTGATGATGATAATGATGATGATGGTGATGGTGGTGGTGGTGGTGGTGGTGGCACAAAGCCTCGCCTTCAGCCAGTCTGGCGCCGGAGCCGCGCCGCTGTCGGTGCTGACCGCGCCCGCGGCGACGGCGCTCTTCATGGCGGCCGCGCGCTGGCGCACCCGACAAGCCCTGGGGCATCCGGGCGCGCCATGGCGCACGCCCACTGGTGGAGCCGGACGGGAGGGAGAACACGAACATACTGAACCGACTCCGTAGTTTTCGCCTTTGGGGACCCTCCTGGGGGGCCCTCACCTCGAGATCCTGGTCAACGCGCGCCCCGGGAGAGGGCTGGGGACTAGCAGTGGCGGTACCTCTGGGTTCCCCAACGCGGGCTAGGGAAAATCAAACATACCGATATCGCTGCTCCCTGGAGCTCTCCAGGGGCGCGTTCTGACCAGGATTGCGAGGCGAATCCATCTGTGCTTTCGTCCGCTGACATGACTGAATGTGCGATGACTGCCACAAGCTCACTGAATTCGATACCACCTCATCGTTGTTCTCATCACCACTGCCACAATCATCATACTCATCTTTATCACCATCGCCAATGCCATCGGAAAAAGCCGTCATGTTAAAGCCAACATCAATATGCACAAGCACGTTCCACTACTTCCGCGCGGGCCGAGGAAAGTCGAGAACGGTCAATGACAAAGCGGACAAAGAGGAAACAGGAAGAGGGAATGGGAGACAGGCGAGGCACGGCACCAGCGGCAGATGCAGGATTTGCAAGAGGAGCCAGATTCTGTCGTGCAAGCACTACGGTCGCGAGGTTTTCCCCAACACACGCAATCACTAGCAAGCTGGTCGCGTAATGCTTCGTCACGATTTGGGATGACCTATTGTAGGCCAAGCAACAAAATACACCAAAGAAAAAATGGCCGCGTCATGCTTAATCACGACCCGGAATGGAGGACGTTGTTTCCGCGTGCACAGCGATATGACCACTGGTAGGCCAGGCTCGCGCAGACAGACATTCGCAGAACAAGGGATGGATAGCAGGAAACACTACATCCGAAGTGAAATTCAAGCGTCTGATCCTCACTGTGAAGGCCAATTCGCTTGGGCGAATGTGATAAGATACGCAGGGAGTGCGCCGCCCGAGTGCTGTATGACGTAAATCTCAGGGCTTGACAGAGAATCCACGGAGCAATTGTAACGATGCGGCCTCTGCCGAAAAGGCAGCACGCCGCGGTGCTCTGGGCTTCCCAAGCACGGCATTCCTGACCCTAGAAGGCACATGAGCATCATCTGCAGCCCGTCCGCTGCTGGTGCAGCGCAGAAGTTACCCTCCGCAACGTACTTGGCGTCGCGCGCGAAGTAGGTGCCAGAGCCCCACAGCGATGCTTTCTTGGTGCCAGAGACCAGCGGCTGGAAGCCGCAGGCGGGATTCTCAACGATGGACTCGATCGCGATGAGGTCCGCGCCGTGGAAGCCCCAGACGGTGTGCGTTCCGGGCTCGAACTCCAAGTCCTGGCCCTCGATCGACGTGCGCAGGGAATTCGCCGACCCCCTAGGGGTTCCTCGACGTGTGAGGCAGGTGCCCTTCCTCAAACCCCTCCCTCCCCCTGGGAGCCCGATCGGACATGTTTGGAGGGGGGGTGCCCCAACCAACGGGCCCAGCGAACTCGTCTGGCCCTAAAAAGGTCCAAGGCGCGTAAAAATCGCCCAAGGAAGCCCCCTCACGGTCCACAAGTGCTCCGGTACCGCCCCCAAGACAGGTCAATGGCCCCCAATATGGCCCATGAGAGCCACAGGAGGACTTCCAAAAATCCGAGGAGCCTAGGAGGGGGAACTCGAAGGGGTCCCCAGGAGCCCTCCCGCACACCATTGCTCCCAGGACCTCAGCACGCCGCGAGCGCCAAGAGGCCCCCAACAAGCTGTCAAGAGAAACATCCCAGCAGGGATCCTTTCGAGCACGGTGCTCAGTTTCCCAGATGTGCGCGCGGTGCCAAGACGTTTCGACGACAACGCCCATCAAAGAGAGGCATCCAGGGCACCCGACGGGTCGGCGGTGCGGCGCATGCCAATGAATCAAAGTAAGGCTTAACGCTCCCATCAAATTGTGTGCCGTTCTCGACCCGCTGAACGCGTACTACCCTCGCCATATCCCAAGCCTCCCGGGGCTTGAGCGGATACGTCGGCGATTCCAGAGGGTGAGCCTTGAAGATGGCTGAGACGAGCTGGAACTCCGTGCTCCCAGGATGCACATCGAAGAGCTTCTGGCGGTCCATCCCCCGCTGGTTCGGGGATGCCCAGAGCTTCTGCAGTGCCTCGGGTGTGTAGCCCAGTCTTCCTTCGACCTCTAAGCGCGCCTGCGTCATTCTCTCACGACAGGTGCGCATGAAGTATAGCTCTGGACAACCGCCACTGAGAGCGGCGTCGACGAGGCGCGCCAGACCATCGTGCAACCCGAGGGACGCCATGCCGTGCGTGTCGCCAAAGCGCGAGAACTGCCCAGTGGCCAGCTGCCCGCTGTTCGCAGTGTACAGCAGGAAGCTGCTGTTCGCGTCGCCCGTGCCCAGAAGCCGCTCCAGGTGCTCGCGAGACACGGGATACCTCTCGTCGTTTGAGCCGTGCGCGAGCACGACGTTGCAGCCATGAGGCAGCGCCGTGCAGGTCGGGTGCACGTTGACCAGCACCGTTGGCCCGCGCCAGCCACACTGCCAGAGGCCGACCGCGTACGCCGTGCCAGAGGAGAAAGCCACGACGGCATCGGGCTGCACATGGTCCACCTCTGCCCTGACATGACCCAAATAGGCCTGCATCGGAAAGCCAGGCTGATCGGGGCAAGGCGCGGCGCTGAAGTGCAGCTGGAAGCCGGAAGATTCGAGGTTGCGGCCCCGCCCAGGGCCGATGACGAGCACCCGAGCGCTCGTCCGCTCTCGGTGCACCTGAGATCTGGTGCGCATCAACTTCGGAGCACTGCTCGCCCTCTTCACACGCTGGAAGTACGCAAGCCAATCTGCGAGGTCGATGCGGCGCTTGCCATGAGAGATGGCCTGGAAGACAGCGCTTACCATGTCAAAGCTCCACTCCTCCTGCATCACCTTGCTGCTGTCCACACCGGGCATCACAAATTGGGCCACAGCAGGCTTTC